ATGTGTTAATTATTTGAAATTTCAATTAATTAATTATATTACATTAATTAAAATTACCTTACGACCTTTCTCCTGTATAAATTTTTGTCTGGCATACTCTTTACGCCGTAAATGTCTATACACATGAAATTCTCCACTGCCTGCTCCTGCACTACTTCCCATTACATTACGTACAAATTCTGGTACCGTTGGTGTACTTTTAGCTTTAGGTCGTTCTGGTAATATAACAGGTTTCTCCTATTATAACAATAATAACATTTTAAACATTTTTTTAAGCAGGTTTGTTAACTATGTAGAAAGCTGCTTATTTTAAGAAAAATAATATTGTTAAAAATAAAACGTATTGAAAAAAACATTTTATATTCACTACACATACTGGATTTTTCATTAATTTTTGAAGTTTTAATCGCTGTAAATCAATTGCATTTTTTGCAACAACAGGCTTTTCTTCTTCTTTTTCTTTATTCTCCGGCATATTAGTAATAGTATTATATTAAGATTACACACTTTTCATAACACGACTATGAAACGTAAATCATACACAACAAACTGATAACTACAAAAGAAACATGCAATATACATAGAAAACTGTATAATCTATGTACGTAGGTAAGTATATCAAAAGTGTTTGAACTGCCTCCCCTCAAACTAGTGACTTCGATCAGCGTTCCCTACTACTTCCATTCTATTTGCTCAAGCTGTTAGGTACTATGTATCGAGGTACTATGAGCAACGTTATATAGAATTCAATATAAACAGGTGAATGTATACTGTATAAGTAGGTATGGAAAGGGTAAATTTTTTGAGATACCCTAGCTGTAACGTGTTACTCAGAAAAAAGAGCTCTAAAAGGAATGTGAGTCTAATTGGTTAATTTTCATCTTTTTTCATGTCATTTTCGATACCAATTTGCTATTCGTCGTATGGTTACACGTAACCAATCAAAATTATAAACAAAATACATGATGCGAGATCCTTCTTGTCCCTGTACCGTTCCGGCCTTTTAGTGAGCAACGCGAAGTTACTGTAACAGTTCCTAGGGGAATTTGGTTACTGAACTCATATAACGAGATTACTGTAAATATATATAAATTATTCTAAAAACAGTACATAAATGAACTGTAACATTATATAATAGGAATTATTGTCTGCGTAAAAAAAGAATAAACATTAAGTAGTACTCTTTAGTGAAATTACGTTAGTGACAGAAATAATGACATGTTACTAATAATTTCAACCCAAGCCAGTTGGTAACAGTAATAGTAGCAGAAGGCTTTCAATATTGACGCTTATCGAAAATCTTGTAATCGTCGGGAGCTGAAAAAATTTCGTTGTCAAATTGGAAGTAATTTTTAGAAAATCTGTCACACTATTGTTTACCTTAGAAACAATGTCAGATACGGCAATAGATGAAAGGTAATTCTTAAAATTACTTACAATGAATGTTTTTCAACGACATTTAATTTTGCTTAATATTTACACAAATTTTTTTACAGAGTAACAGATGAAATTGAAGCATTAAAAGCAATTTTACTCGACGATGAGTTGAATATTAAAGAAAACGAAAGGTAAGTGTGTGTATGAAAAATCTAATGCTCGTAACCTAGTTATTTAAGTAATTTAATTGTCATTTAAACATTTTTATTTATTATATATTTTAATGATAGTTTTCTTGTATAATGTTATTATTGGGGTAGGAAAGTTGACTTTTATTGAAAAAGATATTTTATTAGTTATATTTGATACATATAAATATCAAGTTTTAAATATTTATAAAACAAAATAGGAATTAATTACTGATAGTGTAACTTCTTTCTCTTAATTAATTTATGAACATTGATACATATTATTTTCATATTGCAAATCTAAATTTTCTTCATAGTTGTATAATATGTATAATGACTATTGATCATACATATATATTATCATAGATAAACATCATGCACACACACACGCGCGCGCGCGCACACACACACATGCACACACATACATATGCATATAAGAAGTATATATATGTATATTTATATTTATTAGACCAACATGAAAGATAAAATTTGTATACTCTTTATGTATAACTTAAAAAATGTATTTGGTGAATAAGTGTTTTCTGTGTTTGTATTAAAATTGATAAAATAATGTTCGATACATTTTTAGAGGTGAGCCAGAATGTATCGAGACTGTGTTATTTCCTTCAACTGGTGAAGATTCCCAATCTCAATATGTTTGTGTAATATTAATTGTTCAATTACCTGTGGGATATCCTGATGTATCACCTATTATTAGTCTTAAAAATCCTAGAGGATTAGATGAAGAAACAGTGAAGCTTATGCAAGCTGATGCAGAGGCAAAATGTAAAAACTTCATAGGGCAACCAGTTATGTTTGAACTCATCGAGGTATGATAACTGTATATTAACTATATATACATCTTTTTTAAATAATTTTACAAGTATTAACATGTTCGCGACCATAGTCAAGTTTGAAATACTCTTATTCTGGATCATGCCTTTCTTGCAATTGTTTCATGTGATATGTTAATCATATAATTTTTACACATGGTACATAAACTAAACAAAGCATTTTACATAAATGTCACATATGTATAATTTTGATACAGCCAAAGTGACAACAGAGTATACCATATGCCAAAGATATGTTAATATCATCATAACAACAGTAATCAACAGTATCACACATGTAACGCTGGACTCTCTAAACATATCATTGTGTCAAACATACGTGACACATGATCGCGAACATGTTAAAATAAAATAGAGAAATACATTAATATGTCATTAAATGTAAAATAAAATCTAACACATACTATTACACACACTACTTGATAGTAGTAAGTCTAGTAAATCTAATGATCACAATTGTAGTGACTTTTTATTGTTAAAATCAGTAGATTACAAAATTCATATTTTTTATTACATGTATACTGCACTGCTGATGAGATTTCTACTGAAACAATACAGGGACAAAGAGAGTCTTTCGCTATGTGATTTGTTTATTGTTTTAACTAATTATGTGTAAACATATTGATAAATAATATTAGTAATAACATATAAGTAACTATATAGATAATAACATTAGTATCAAAACTGAGATAAGAACAGGTGAAATTGGCCAATTAGGCCCATGTTCCTTTCAAGTAGTATTCCATCAGCAACATAGAATAACATGCATATTTTTTATATAATTTTTATCGTACGTAACATAAAATATGCTTTATGTTATAATTATTATAGTAATTAGTAATCATTTTTTAATGTTATTGTAACAGTTAATAAGAGAACATCTTACAAGAAGTAATCTTCCAACGGATCAATGTGCCATATGCTTGTATGGTTTTCGAGAAAGAGATGAATTTACAAAAACAGAATGTTATCATTATTTTCATTCGCATTGTTTAGCAGCTCATGTAGCAGCTGCAGAACGGTATTATAGAGAAGAACAAGAAAAATTGCCACAATGGCAACAAGAAACTAAAAACAAATTTCAGGTACTAATTTTTACACTCTTCGGTTCTCTTTATTTTTATTATATAAATTTGTGTATAAGAGTTTTGATTTTAATTGTTATTTCATGTTATAAATATTCAATTATTTTAACAACTTTATTTATATGACAATAATGTATTCTTTCACAGGCTATATGTCCAGTGTGTCGAGAATCAATCAATTGCGATGTGGAGAGTCTTTGGTCAGCTCCACTTCCGATTGACGTTGAAGCTGCAACAGATTTTTCTGTTACCGCAGAACTGAAAGAGTTGCAGAAGCAAATGGCAGCACTATTTTTGAGACAACAACAGAGAGGTGGAATAATAGATTTAGAAGCTGAAGGTGTAAAATTGTTGGTAAGAACAGAAGATGAATCTGGAGGAACTACTGAAGAACTCAATCCACCAGGAACAAGTATAAATACGTATTCAAATCAGAATGTACAACCCGTTAATCAAATGGTATGTTTACAGAATAACAGGTATCAAGAATATTCTCATTTTAAATATTATACACGTTCAATAAGTTTTAATTATATTTATCTAGAAACAATTTTTGAATTTATAAAATTATATTTATATTTAAAACATATTTAGCATAAAAATAATTTGTTTGTCAGTTACCACAACCAAGACAGCCTTTACATCAGGCACAAAATCATGCTCAATATCAGTCACGTCAATTACATCATGCTTACCATGGACATAACAATCATGGGCATCGGAATAGAGGTCGTGGACGAGGTCATTATCGCCGCCAGTTTGACAGGGTTAGGCAGACGGAATCCACTCCCACATGACAATGGGTTCGAGATAAATTTTATTATCTGGTCTTCAATTTCATTAAGTGTACACAAAAATGTTTAACATTAGTAGTATAATTATAAATATATTATATAATAATTGTTCAATTTCAAATCACTTTCACGTGATTAAATTATAGGTATTATCGTTCAGCAACATTCCCGTTGTAACGGTGTATAAAATGAGGCATGTTGATACTACCAAGGACTGTTTGTGTAGACTGAAGCCATGGTGCTCTTTTAAACGATCCGCAGTCGTACAAAGTTGATTCATTTTTTTTAATATAGATGTGTATACAGAGCTGTAAGTACTATAGCAAATTATAAACAAAAGAAAAAAAATTCACAATCAAATACTAAACACTAAAAATATTTTGTACCAGTAATTTAGAATTTAACGATGTAGAAACATTTTAAAAAATAACGTATATCATTTATATTATGTATATTTTATGATAATTTTCGTGTGCGATTTCAATTTATAATACTCTTTTTCGTACTGTCACATATATCAATTGTCGACAATATTATAGGTCGTGACATGTAACAGAGCAAACATGGATCAGTATTTAAACAGATACTTACTTATTCCTTCTAAAGGAATGGAATGTTTAACGCGTATATTTGGAGGTAATAAAGTAAAGTAAATCTTTAGAAAAAATATGTAATACTATTATATCTCAAGTTTAACATATGAAATATACCTTTCAAAAGTTGAGAACCTTGGTTTAATGCATGAATCAACCACTACTTCTGAGAAAATGTTTAATTCAAGTAATTCAAAAGTAGTATTTTATTAAATCTAAATACTTTTCTAAGTAGATTGATTTACATATATATACATATATATATATATACATAACATCTCCATTCTATCAATTTTATTATATCGTTGATTTTACAATTTTTCTATATATTTAAAATCTGTATAAACTTCAGTTCAACTTTACATAACTATCAAAATACTTTTAATGTTAAATATTTATTGTAAATAATTC